ATATATATATATATATATATATAAAGTGATGCGTAAGTTAATGTAATAACAGCATGATTATTCATGTAGTTTTGTGATGCATTCCTTGGGGATTGCGTTAATTACTGCATTCACTGCTGGGTAGCTGAAAGTACACTGATAAATAAGCTATTCCAATTTTTTTGTGCAAAAGGAAATAATTTAGTTTTTTTCTAACTCGAATCTTGAAAACATTTCGAAATAACGTGATTTAAATAAATAAGATTCGTTTTTTCAATTTATGAAGAAAGGAGAAATATTAAGTATATTCGAGATTACCTTGACAACGATTTCTGACATCCGACCAATATCAACTTATGCTTAGCTCGTGTGACAGCAACATTAATTCGCCGGCAATCGGCAAGCAACTCACTTTTTCGATTTTCTGCTTCACCAGCCCACACAAAACTTAACACAATAACCGACTTATCTCTACCTTGATATTGGTCAACAGTATTCACTTCAACTCCTGCTTGAACTATGTGGCGCAATTGTTCAACATGATAGCGATAAACGCAGATAATACCAAGATCACTTTTCGGCAGACCTAGCTAAAAATGGTTTCATTTGTTACTTAAACAGAAGATAGCTGCGAGAGATGTACTATAATATGAACTAAAATACCTCAAATCTAAAAGAATTCGACAGAGTTTATTCAACAATAAATTATCAATTAATTATGGACAGTGGAAAGAGCAGAAGTATAAACAGTATGCAGTCAGATCTTCCAGATACCAGCTAACCTTAACAAATAGTTTGCAAAGGCCTCCAATAAATTCCGCTTCTCCAGTGTTACCAACCTCACCAAATTTGCCAAAAGTTGCACAAAATGATGGATTCTTGTACGACTGGGTATCCACAAACACGACTGCATTGTTTAGTAAATTCGAAATACAAAGCTTGTATGCCTCTATAATGATTTTTTCTTACAAATGGAAAATTAATGATTTTATGGAAAGGGTGCCATTTTACAAAATATTTTCGCTTAGAAATAATTAAGAAATTGTTTAAATCTGATGAATTAGATACAAATGCGACCATAATTTGGGATATTTTAGAAATTTCAATAATTTTTTCAATCATTAATTAAACGTACTGGAGTAAATGCTATCACTGATGGGATCAGAGGCTAAATTGGTAAAAATTGCTTCAGCTACCATATTATTCGCACAACGAAGTTTACCTTCATAAAAAAGAACGTTGCTAAGTTCAGCAATTGGCCTAAAATCCAGATTATAATTAAGACTCAGCAATTCCTTCATTACTAACGTTAGAATGCCTTCGGAAATCATACAAATGAATCATATAAATATTACAATTCACCTGTTCATCCGATACTGCGAATGTAACGTAATTACAGCTGATTGATGGACAGTTAATCGTTCCAATAACGATTTTGCCATGCCTTCCTGCCTAAAGTAGCATGATGCAAAACTATTGATTAAGCCATAATTTTTATCGTCGACTAATCTGCTACAACTTCATTCTTCATTGCTTTACTTGTAGTAAGGGAAATATAATTTATTACTTAACGTGAACACTTGAAATGTGAGACGAAAGTCTCCACTTTAACGATGTAGCTTATTCTTTTTACACAATGATCGACTGAACTTTGCTTTCAGTTACTGCTCTACCACTCTTATGGATAGAACTGTTAAATGTGCAAAAAATACCTAGCTTGCTTGGAACGAACAAGCGGAGTAAGCTGTCGATGATCACCAACAAGTACAAAAGAATCAGAAGCAGCAATAGCAGGAATGACAGTAGGTTCCAACACCAAGGATGCTTCATCAACAACTGTCATTGAAAAACGACGATACGAAAACAGCAAATCAGTTGCTACTCTCAAACAAGTACATGCAACGATGGGCTGGAATTTATAAGAATTATGTTCATCGGAAAAACTGACTAATGATTAAAATTTAGGAGAGATTTAGAATATTATGGTAGTATAAGGAACAACGTGAAATATGTTGTACACTAAGGTAAAAAGATAAAATTTTACTGTTTCTTTTAGGATATGCCGCATTAGTGAAACCCTGTCGGTATGCGTGTGTTTAGACAACTTTGCCTCCAAAGTCAGATGCTGTACACTTTTCTTCATAGAAGTTTGTTGTCCCAAACGTAGAATCTTATTTTCATCAACATACTGGAAAATATTTTTTTGAGTTGGAAAGACTAAAACTTCAACTGAGAACAACAAAAGAAATCCCTTAACTTGTCCATTGTAATAATTTCTTTACGTGACAACAAGCATAGTTTAAAGCAGTTAGAACAACTGGTAAACACTGAAAGGCATGTGATAACAACTTTTGTGTCCAACAAATATATTCAGCAATTTCTCATTCAGAAATATACAAAGAAAGGGAAATAAATCAGTAACCTCAACAAGTTTCGAGAGAAGATTGTCAACTGCAGAATGAGTGTAAGACGTAATAAGGACAGTGCGGCCTAGATGGATAAGGCAACGGATTAGCACTGCTAACGTGCTTGTTTTCCTGTAATTAAATTTAGTTTCAGCAATTATCTGTCCATTTTTCCCTTACTGATTTAATTAATAAGAGAACTAAAGAAACTAAAATTAATTGTTTTTAAAACCCTGATAACTGAAATATGTTAACAGTTTAAGAAAAAAATTATATGATCACTGAGCTTTTCCAAAAAATTTTCCTCATGTTGGACTTTACCCTTTATTTTCATCGGACACTCCCAAAACTCATCTATTTTGTTAAGATTAATTTTTTTACCAGATCCAGGAAATCCTTCAATAATCGTGTAATCGTTAGACATAAGAGATTTAACAACTGCTCGTGCTTGATCACAATTTAATTGTCGCACAATTTCTGATATGCCAATTATATTTTCTTTTTTCATCTTTGAAAACGCTGGTGGTCTCATATCAATTATAAGAGATCTAATTTTTGACCTGAATAGCAATTCACTATTTTATATACCTTGTCAAGAGTAATGGATCAATAAAAGACAAGGAAAAGAATAAGTCAAATTAAAATTCTTTCAGTTTTTGGAGCCATATATCTTTTGTAAAATAAATTGAAAAGCAAAGAATTAGAAGGAAAAATCTGGCGGAACTAAGAAACCTACATACATTTGTTTGTCATCGACCATTAGCGTAACTAAATTTCCGAGATTAAGAGTATATTTGAAAGAAGTCTCATATCTCTCAAGAAAATAAGTTGTCCCAACGACAAATGAATTGCTATTGCCATTTACAGTAATGTCGATAAAATTTTCTGCAAAATTCAACTTTTTAATGACGAATTTCAATTTATTCTAACGAATGATCTGTTAGCATTGCGGGATGAATATAACAGTTGTTAGTACTACTAAAGCAATGAAGGGATATATTTTCCACGAGAATCCTCGACAAGTGTGTGAAGTGATATCATAAGTTTGCCAAGTGTAATATCTTGAGCCTTTTTCAGACAAACAATGCACGATCATGCCTGAAGTGCAATTATGCTGTTACTACTAAATGATACATTATACTGAGTAATCATAACCCTGGAACTTACGCATGAAAGCAGCACACCACCCACACGTTTTCTCCCAACGAACAGAAACCTGAAAAAATCTGCTTACCTTTAACGAAAATTAGAGAAGCCATAGCAATTACTTCACTCTCCTCAGAAAGAACTAAGAACATATCTCCTTTCATGAACAATTCATATTGTTCATCTATTACTCCCTCTCTGAAAATAATGATTTTATTGTTCTGCAAGAAGTCAATAAGCTAGTTCATATAAGATGCTGGATTGAAGATATCTGTCTGGATAGCTTTTTTAAAAAACAAGCGACATTTCTAGGATACAAGGAAGAATTCACCTTCGAAAAGTAATAATAGTTCTATTTCCTCGTTGGATGATGGAATCAAGAGTAACCTTTATACATGGTACCGAGTTCTTCCTGAAATTCATATCAATAGAATATGAAATTCATATCTAATAATATCTGATATGATATGAAATTCATATCTAATAAAGTACTAGATACGAGTAACTCCTCCTGTCTCTTTATCTCTGATTAAAAAAAAACCTGAGTAAAGTATCAAGGAAATTTATGAAATGAAAAACCTTCTGCATATATTTTCCTTGTCAGTTGCATTTCTCTCCGTTAGACATCTCCACTCCATTAGTACCCAACGAATGAACCGTTTGAAGTAATCGATATGACTTGGCTTAAGATGCTTTAATTGGTCTTGAAAGAAGATTTCGGTTACAGTTGATGCAGAGCAGTTTTGCAATAAGGAACATGATAATGCCTGATTACACCATTGACAGGTATGTGTACTGAGAGTTGGTCCTATAAAGATAATAATGAAATCTTTTATTATTGTCGACAAAAAAAGACAGTTTAGAATTTCGCCCAAGACTGAATTAAACTGACATGATTCAGCATAAGAAGCGAAAAAAATCAACGAAAAATACGATCCTTCTAGTATTCATTATCAAAAGGCACAACGTAAGCGTTGAACTAGCTTTCGTAGCTTTAACTGAATAAAATTGAAAAAACTTTGAATATGAAGAAATTAAGCGCAATAAATTCTCTTTTTCTGCCAGGATAGTGTTTGGAATTCGGATTTTCAACAGCTAAAGAGAACCTGGAAGATTATCAAATGAAGTAGCACTTATGCCTGCAGCAATTTCGTTACGTATATGTAAGATTCCCTTGAGATCAATCGTTTTAGGAGATACAGTCTTGGAGATTTCATCCAGTAAATATAGCAATAAACCATTTTCAATGGTACCCTTCAAAAACTAGTGTATGGATATTCATAATATATAATATAGAAATATCCCTTATTTCGATCAGATTTCTTGAGATACCTCGTCTGTTGAATGTTCTATTCATCAATTCGTGTATCACTTTGCAACAGCTCAATGTATTGCAATGTATTAGATGTGAAATTTTCGAACTTTAGAATACATTAGTTAAATCGAACAACATTTAAAATCTCTTGAAGTGTAATGCTCAGTGAAGTGTAAGTATAATTCAAATCGCACAAGAATAAAAATGAAATCTGAAGAAAGTCGGATTGTTTGGATGTAGCGCCAACCTGTTTTGAGGCCAAAGCAAGACAGTAAAGCATGACTTGTGTGACATGCTCTGTATTTGGATTTGACTTGCCAGTTTTCAATTCTACAGGGACCAGTTTTTGCTCTCCATTCTTCTTTTTTACCTCAAATTCAAGACAATAAAAAATCTCGCTGAACTGTTCAGAATCTTTCGACTGATTACTAACATGCGAATGAATTTTTATAACAGCATTTTAAAATGAATGAAAAGCAAACCTTCAAAGTGCAATCTATTTTGCCTTTGAAACCATAACATGGATTCCAAATGGATTCCTCAACATCCACTACTTTTATGATTTTAGAACCTATCTGTAAGGGTTCATTCCGACCTCTTGGTGGTGGCATATGAGTTGACACCCAACGAATAATCGTTTTAAAATAAAGGCATAGTTCGTCCTCAATCTGAATAAAATTCAAATGATATTTCTGTAAATCACTCTGAAATCTACGTAAAATCAAAAACAAACCTCTTGAAACGAGAGGTTTAGAGCGAAAAATTGTTCAGAATATTGCTCACGCAACTCTTTTCGCCACAGATCAAGTAAACTGCTCTCAGAAACATCGAATTCCGAACGTGTAACCGCAGTCTAAAAATTAGGTTGGAAATTACTTGAAAAGCAATTTTAATCACCACTTTTACTTTTGCAATGACTGCTTCCTGTCCAAAAATCTCAATCATCACTTTAGGTGTAGACAATGTCTTATCTTAGCTGTGGCCCACTCATTGAATAAGAAACAAAGAAGCTTAATTATGCACATTTAATTATGCCACCACTCATCAAAGTGGTAAACAAAAACACTGATGGGAATATCATCCAAGTAGCAGAAAATTCCCTCATCTACATGAAAATGAATACTTGAAAGAGTTCGTGAACCACATTTCCAATGAACATTTCCTTCGTTGTACTGCTTCGTCCTTTGAAATAATGCGAAAGTGCTGCTTTTCGACGACAAGATATACCTTGGACGATAAGTGTACATGGCACTAGTACATTATGTTCCACGATCAGTACACCATTTTCCCAGTTTAACAGTAACTCCTAGAAGGTAATTTAATGCAAACATAACAAAGCAAACATAGAACACAATACATCAGCTATTTCAGATTATCTAGCCAGAAAGTACCAGGTATTTCATGTTCAATACATTAAAAATAATTATTCACACTTCCATTTCACATATGAACACTGAAATATTAATTATAAGCAAAACTTTAAATTCATGATTAAGGAATGCATAATAAAAGTGTAAGATTACCTCTTCTCCTTTCATTTCAGCACCAATAACGCGCAAGGAAGATCCAATCTTAACTGGAGTAGATGACCAAATTCCTTCCAGTCTCACACGGTAAATTTTAGACGTGTCTTCGCAAATACAATGCAATTCACGAAATTCATCGTTATTATCATCAGACAGCGAAACGACACGGACATTGATGATGGATGCTTCGCTGGACCCGAACGGGATGAATGAATCCTGGATGTCTGCAATGAAGCTGATTAATCCGGACAACTTTTATTAGGAAAATCAAAACAAATGAAGTTCATTAAAAGTTAGATTCCAGTATTCCAGAGGGTAAGATGAGTTTCGATATAATCGATGGCAGAAGCGATTTATTTAACCACTTTCCGAATAAAGCTAAAACAAAATAAGAGTGAACTTTGGATCAAAAGATGATTATTAGTTCAGTTGATGATAAAATCTCAAGTTCGTCATAACTTTTGAACTGTTTCACAATAAAATGAAAATATGACTCGATAATTCGAGCCAATATTCATAATAACTAGTACGAAATTGAATTTAATTAGTTCTGAACTTTATTAGCAACCAAAACTATTATTTTACCTCGTTCCACATAACTAACTGATAAACGTTTTGGACGTTTCCGTGGTGGTATACAATCATTAGAGATAAGGTTGGCAAATGTCGCAGCTGATACCATCGAATCACTGATTTCATTCGTAACATTTCCATCATCATTTTCCTTCCATGAACTGCTTTCTGGTAATTCCATTATATCACCATCGGGTAAATTCTGAAATAGTAAAAGACTTAAATTTCCATTAATTAAAAGTTCATTAGCTAAAAGAGAGGATAAAATCAGATAAAGATAAATTTGATAACGTAACATGACTCCTTCATAGGACGATAATGATAATACTACATGATAAGATTACATTGTTTGCTGTCAAATAGATGAATCCCCTACTTATAAGACTAACCATACCTAAAGTAATGTAATTATATTTACATATATCAGTAACATTTATCTATTCGTTCCTATTACCCAAAACATCTCTATTCATTTTTATTCACACAAGATATCGCTACTTGCCTATAATCAACAAACTGATCCATTTGGCTTATATCAAAGCATAAGATATCCATCTGTCTTCTTATCGTTTTGGTATTTATCCCTTATCAAGAAGTTTCGTTTGTCACTAATTGGTTTAATTAGTTTGCTAATTAGTCAAATTAATCCCTCCTCTTTATTTCGTCTTTGCCGTCCTGTCTTCTTGCATGTAAATCTCTCATTACATTAATTATCACATATTATGTTAATCAATCCTATGATTTATTTCAAGAAAACAAAATTTTCAAATTTAAAAAAAATCCGAATTCTTGGCGTCATGCCAACATTCCAACTATAACCCAACCATCTATTGTAGCAATAAATCTTGTTTGGATTTGTGCATGGGTGGTTCAGTGTTTCACGTGAAGTCACGTGACACGGTAGCTCTAAGGTTGTCCCTGATATGACGTCTGGACCTCTGACCTTAAAGAGTTCTTGTGACCTGTGCTATTTGGTGCTGCTGAAAATAGGGAATGAGATTAATTCGATATCTACAAGTTACGGATGTTCTACTGAAGTTCGGTTCCATGAGCGTATGTAATGAGTTTTTCTGTATGGAGTCTTTTCAGATTGCTAGAATTATATAATTGTTCAAACATTTGGTATGCAATAAAGTATAATGTCGGATGGTAAAGGTACCGGAATGGTAAAAGGTCAGGAAAATGAGGAACAAAAGCAACAACAATCTCAACGATTTATGGCGAGAACAGAAGGAAGTGGAAATTTGACGACAGTAGCTGATGAAGAGAGATCTGAAAGCCAACATGGAAGTATGTTCGGCAGAAGTTTACGGGGAGCTTCAGTCAACATAGCCAACTTTGCTGGTTCGTTTTTTTACGGTCATTTTTGGCAAGTCCATAATTGAACGCACTAATAATTTTGCTTTGAATGCTACTATGATGAAGATACTTTTTCAGATGAAACTTTTCCGGAAAAGGTTGTTTTGGCTACTGAGCAAGTTTCAAGTGAACAGGGAAGTCAGAATATTACATTCGATGTGACTGAATTGAAAAAAGAAAAAGTCCGATTGGGTATGTTTGACAAGAGCTTCCTTTCTCATAAATCCCATTCCTGGAGCTTCTTAGCTAAACTGGCAATGATTTTAAGGCTTGGTGCTGGTAGCGATAACTTCTTGTCTGGATCCTTTTATTATCTCCATCTTGATTTTCAGATGATGTCACACTACAAGTTATGCTAGAATTTTAAGTTCTGCCCAAATACTAAACATAAATTATAGAACATGTTTTGTTTCTCACAAACGGAGAATTGGATGCAGTTCGGAATAAACTGTACAGAGTTAGTGAAGCACAAAATGCATTAAAAAAAGAAAATGAGGAGTTGCTGCGGGATAGAAGCCAACGGATGGCCGCGATACGAGAGCTGGAAGCTGAACGTGACCGTATATTACTTGCAAAGGTATTTCAATGACCAGAAGATTTTTCAATTTTCATTTGATTTTTCCGTTGCTCCAAAAATTCCACTTTTGATTTTCATTTTCATTTTTCATGATATTTTACATTTCATTTCCAAAACTTGAAATTTCAGAATGAGTGTGAGCAGAAAGCTGAGATGTTGTTGCGTCAAAAAGAGGATTATGAAGGAAAAATTAATCGCTTACATCATGACAAGTCGCTTATTGCAAGTAGGTATTGAGTATGCTCTTACTTTTCTTACTAGATCCAATAAATGCTGTTGGGTTATTAGTGCTATTCGTTGTTTGCTAAAAAATTCTAGGAACACCTCATTCTACCTGTCTTGTTTCAAATTTCAAAAAAGCATTGAGGGTTTTCTTTGTCTTCCTACGAAGGAACTGCTCAAATAATATAATCATGACTTAAAAGCCATTCAGATTTCGTAATTTGCGTTGAGGGACACATAAATCAATCAAATCCTGAATAAAAATAGGGAGATTGGCTCAGTGTAATTGTTGCTGTCGTCTTAGGAAACCTCAGCTTTTGAGATTTGGTAATCCGACTTATATTTACAGGCGATTTGCAACTGCAGAAAAATGAAGTAGCAAAACTGATAGAAAAGAATGTTTTGCTAGATACCAAACTTGATGAATATGCCAAACAAAAGCGAATAGTTGAGGTTTGTGACTTTGTACTGGAAATAAATGGTGATTAAATTTTACAGTATCAGTGATAAATAATTTTTTAAACTTCAAATTCAATGTAAAATGTAAATATTTTCATCATTTAAAAGGTAGTTTTGTGGGATTAACTGCTTATTCTTTTATCTGACATTAACAAATTCAGTTTATTTCAGTATGAAAAAGAGCGTTGGGCTCAGGAAAAAGAAATATATCTGCACAACAAAGATTGGTTTATGAATGAAATTAAGGAGCGCGATCGGAAATTTGCTGTTTTAAGAATCGAAATGGTAAGATATAGGTTTAATTCTGTGTGGGGGACATAACACCCTTTTTTTAAATAACAGGGAAAGATTTAGGGGAAATCGAAAGGGAGGAAGGAAGGAATTATTTGTTGGTAAGTGGGTTCCACAGAATGTTGAACTGTTTTGTCAAAAATCCGGCTAATATTTTAATGGAACTCTCAAATATATTAAATGTGCCAGAATGAACTATTCATATGATTTATTTGCTGTATTCTTGTTTCATGACACAATTTTTCGTCTGCAACCGCACAGTAACTTCTCGCCACTGACATTAATTAACGCTGGAGCATTCAATTTAAATTCAAACTGAACTAATTCTTGACAAGATACCGTTATTTTTTAATGTTAGGTAGAAAGCAAACTTACGGATCTTGATGACTTTAATGAAGTAATTAAGTACTTAAATGGAATCTTTGATTCTTTCTTTAAAAAAAATACATTCAGGACTGTCGGGATGGCCAGCATAACGTATTCCTTCACGATATCATGAGTGCGCAAGATTGTAGCGACTAAACTGCTTATTTTTACTAAACCATTTTACATGATTAAATTAGAAGTCTCGTGATCGGGAAAAATAAGTAATCTATTGTTCAGGTTATCTGAGCATAGGGAGGAACATCGTTATGTTCAGTAGAAAACCTTATCTTAACTTCTGCACTGGCATTTATTTATTACTTTTTTTTAATATATGTTTACATATGTGAATCATATTATAAAGCTGTGCTGTAGGTCCGATACACTGGTGAACTACAAGCGGAAATAGCATCTGTCACGGATAAGTACGAATGTGCAATGAATGATGTTAAGAAACTTACAGGAGCACTTGCTGATCGGAACAAGGAAATACCTAGATTGAATGATCGCATCAAAGGGGTGATGATATCCAAATTTTATATGTGTTCTTGATAGTATGGCATTTTATGGAGACGGTTTTTTTTTTGTTGCATTTCGTCATAATTAAAGTTGTGTTTAGAAATTTATTGATTCATTGCTTATTTACCAAGATTTTGTGATTAGATTCTTTTATAGATCTTAGAGGATAATGCACAGAAGCTGAACAAATTGGAAGAAGAACTATTAGCAAGTGAACGACTTTGTTCTGTTTACAAAGAGGCCAGCGATGATGCGGAAAATAACTTGCGGCAGCTTAATGAAGATTTTGATAATCGAGGAAAATTACTTGAGGAATCCAAAAAGGGTTAGGATTTTGTTGTTTGATTTATTTTATTTTCAAAAATATCGCAGTTCATTTATCGTTTGTGAGTTGAAAAAGGAAATTGAGGCCAATTCTCTTTCGCTAAACTAAGTCTTTTATAGCTTATGAATCATTGTGCACTGAGTTTGAAGAAAAACAAGCCGCATTCACCAAAGAAGTCGTTCAAAAGGGTTAGTAATAATTGCTCTGATGAGGTCAGCTTTGTATAAAATTTTAGAATGATCCCGTTCTAAGTACTTTCTGTCGGAAAAGTCAACGCTCAATCAATATCCACCGTAGGTTTCCCATGCTACAGCTGGTTTTATAATATTAATGGTGCGTAATATACTACTCATCTCTACTGCCTGAAATCGGCATTTTTTTGCTTATTGATATAGTAATATTTGTTTGGCGTCTTTATCGAATTCTTGGCTGCTCTCCCTTGCGTAAAGAGGATGACCTTTTGTTGCCTTAACATGAATCAGTGAAACAAGTGTTGTGCATCTTGATTAAATTAGTTATTGAACAAGTTAAATTAGTTACTTAAGTTATTTAACAAGTTTCTCTTATACAAGAAAATATTTTTCAGATAAAAAGATTGAAGAGTTAGTGGACGAATTGCAGAAAGCCAATGATTTATTGAAATCTAGACATCGTGGTATATTTTTCCACTTGTTTTGCGTTGATTAAATTTTTGCGTTCTGCTAACTAATGGATTTTCTCCTCTTATATCAAGAAACCAGAACTAGAAAGTCTTGATAGATTTTTACTAAATAGACCAATTTCTAGACTCCTAAATTTTTCCTTATAAATTTTTTTACTGCAGTAACATTAACGGATGATGAAATCATGGAGTTATCTCCGGCAGCTGCTGCTGCATCATCCTTGATTCGTAGTGGTGTTTCACTGACGAGTATTTATCGGGAACACTGTCGCGTAGTTGCGGAATTAGAAGAAGCGAAAGCGGAAAACAAACGTATCGAAAAGTATTTCCATGAACTAGTTGAGGTATCATTTCTTTCATCGCAAAGTAGTGTGTACTTCCAGACAGATTAGTGCATTCCATGATTTGCGTCAAATCGGAATGCAGAAGTAGCTGGCAGGATATTGATTGATTAATAAATATATGTAAATGTAGGTTAAATAAATATCGTTTAATATTTTGCAGGATATTGAAGCCAAAGCTCCACTGCTTGCGCAGCAACGCATAGAATATGAAAAGATATCGGATTTATGCAACAATTTGCAAGAACAGTTGCAGTCGGCAGAGCAGGAACGGTTAAAACTTGAGAACGCTCGTGATGCTGCAACACGTGAGTTGACATATACCCGAGCTGAACTTGAGCGATATCAGCGCGACGTGGAGGATTTGAGCAGACAGGTAATCTTTTTCATAATTCATTTTATAATATACTTAAACATGATATAAGTAGTTTCCTTTTTCTAAAATATTTCTATGGCATGGGCACATATGTCACTGGATAAATTAACCGTATCAGGCTGGTATCATATTCCTTCGAGGAAAGCAATGTAGAGGAGGCTTGACATGTAGTCATGCTGCACTAGATGCAAATTATTATATGCTAGTTTTCGTATCATTGTTTAGGAAATGTTGTAAAATATAATTTCTAATGATTCAGTTTCTTTTTATTTTTTAATGAGCTACTTCATCTTGAGTTAAGAGCATGTTTAGATTTTCCCGAAGATTGCTCAAATTCTTTCAGGTTCGTCACTTGCTGCATGCATCAGAAGTTGAGAGGGCACGCAACACGGACTCGCCGCCAATGAATGATGAAGATCGCGATGTGCTGTGGAATTCAATTGGTGAGATGCAGAAAGTAAACCAAAAATTGATGTCTGATTTACGAACAATTAATGCTAATCGCGACCGCGCAGTAGAGGAGGCTAAAAGTGAAGAGTATGTTAAGCAATATTTCATTTTTCTGATTTTTTGATTTTATTGTATTCACCATTTCATATTTTAAAGTAGTTAAATTTCTGGATTTAGATTTTCCCCTTTCCAGAATTAACAGACTTACCGATGCTCTAGATGATGCTATCAAGAAATTAGATTTCCTTAAAGATGAAAATTCAAAGCAGAATATGGTGATTGAAGAACTAGAGAAACAGCGTGATACGTATAAAAAAGTTGGTAGCGAGAGAAAAACTCTAGAAGAGGTATAATTCTTACCATGATTTTAATTCCTTTTTTTTCAAGATAATTACGAACAAATATTCTTCAGATTACCAATATTTATTACGACTCAGTTCAAATATATAGATTCATTTTACTTTTCACTGGGGTGTTACTTTCCGAAAGAGTAGCCTGTTTTCTTGTTTCTGCATTCATGATTAAAACAGTCACTGCAGGTGTTACTATTAAAACATTTGCAAAAATTTTCCTTTTCAGTCTCATACTCTGATTAAACGAATGCAAGAAATAGAATCTAAGAATGCGATATTGCGAGTGCACTTGGAACGGGCTGAGAAAAGCTTAGACTTGTTTCGTGAAGAAAAACACCATTCCGATGAGTTAGTCGTCTTTCTTTTCTTTCTTTTTCTTTTTTTTTCATCTCACAAGAACACTAAATCAAGTGATATTACTTTGGCATATTCTTACGAAAGTTTTTCGGTCGGTAAATCTGTACATTTTGCAATGGAAATTTACTTAAGACTTCTGCAAGCACGAATTGATCAGCAGTTTGCTTTAATTGCCGAGTTACGCAAAACAAACGGAAAATTGGAAGCTGATATCGAAGTACAGAGGCAGACACAACTGATGCTTACAAAGCAAGTGAGAAATCCTTTTATTGCTCAAAATGTGTTATACAGAGCTTTTTCATTTCCTCAAACAGTTCCTTTCATGTACACTGTTTTTATATTAGGTGCTAATAGCAGTTATGGAGTATAGGTTGAAGTTCATTCATAATCTAGATCCAGCTTTCCGGTTGTTACCGACAAGACTGACTTCTGGTACCAGTTATTTACTTATAAAATGAGGAAATATGCATCTCACCAACAGTTTATCGTCTGTTAACAGTGTACGCTAGCCATAGAGAGAGTTAAATACTGTGTAATGTGTTGCGTAAAATTGCAAACATTAGTATTTTGCTCTTCGTCTACGTGAGGAAGTTTTAAGTTTAATGTGAAACTTAGTAAATACGTAGGGAATACGTAGAAACGTTGTCTAAATGAAATAGGCTCAAGAATAAAGGTGAAAAACGTAATGGTAAAAACATCGTCTTTATTAAAATCAGTTAAATGTTTTTTCAGTCAGAAAATGATTCAAACGAATTAAGTTTGGCCCGTGAGAAGTATATCAAAATGGATAACAACTACAAGATGGCTGATGAACGATGTAGGAAGTTGCAGGAAGAGCTCATGGAAACGAAGGGGGAAGTTGCCAAATATAAGTTCGTTTCCAATGCTCTGTTTTAAATTCACGATGTCATTTGTAATGTAGTTTTGAGCAATACCGATCATAGAGTTTGAGGGTATCAGATGTATGGTTCTAGTTTTTGTTTCGAAATACTTCTTATATGTTATGTTTAGTAAATGTTTTCAAGATACTAAAAGAGATGCAACTTTTCGTTGCAGGACTGATGTTGAAGCACTTATGGAACAAGTTTCGCTTCTGAGAAGCACGGAAGCGCGATTACAGCAGGAGTTGCATATTCTGCGAGAATCAAATTACAGTAATGAAAAAATGTCGGCTACTTTGAAGCAACTAGAGGTTATTAACTTTCCTAATTATTGTTTCTTTTTTTTGAAGTATGCATTTTCTTTGTGGGTTTTGAAGCACCACTATTTTAAATGGAAACATTTATGATCTGGGATGAAAGAGAAAAGAAGAATCTGGGATGTATCTGAGATGAAAGAGAGAAGAAGGAAAAAAGGGGTAATACTGTTGGAAAATGAATTTTCTGATGATTCGGATTAACTTCATAATAAGTGTACATTATCGGGAGCTCGTTTTTAGAATCGTCTACAGCATAACGATGAAGAAAAGGTAAAGATTCTCGAGAGTCAGTTAGAACTTGCCAAAAATGAAAATGAATCTCTGAAGAAATTTGTTAGCGAAATTTCGGAGCAGCATCGTTTGATCAGTTTAGACTTGAAGGTATGGTTTTTCCAAAACTTTTTTTAAAGAATTTATAAGTGTATGGAGGCGGATTGTACTCTTATTCAGAACTAAGTTTTTGAAAGAGATAATTTTAGATGACAACGAATAAAATCCAAACGGAACGTGACCAGGCACTGGCAAGCAAGAAATCAGCAGAAGAACGGTTGACATGGAAAGATAAGGAATTAAGCGAACTGCAAACAAAATATGATGATTTGATGAGTCAGCTGAAAACACCAGATTCGTCTCTTGGTATGTGGATTGTTATTGAAGTAAAAGTGAAAAGCAATCACAATTACTTTCCCATAATCAAAAGAATTTAATATCATACTCTTTGGAGTTCACCCAGTTTGTTTGGATTTCAGATTCTTATATTATTATACTGAGCACATGATCCAAACTTAGCATTTTCCAGAATCTACCGATGGCGGTTGTAAAAAAGAGGCACAACAGCTTCGAAATCGTAACAGTTATTTAGAAAATCAACTAAAGGACATGTGTCACAAGCTGGAAGGTTTCTTAATTCTTCTTTAAAATTGCAAAAAATTGTCATATATTTTTATGGAATAGCATGTGTCTCTAATGTTCAGGTAGCGTTAGTCATTTCTCGATTTCACAAAAATTGTTCATCTGGGACATAAGTTACATTGAAGGATTGTGAGTAATATCACCACAGACTTCAAACTTCAGGCAAATCAAACATTACTATGACTTAAGTATTACATCTGTTCATAATACTGGCTGGAACGGTTTGATTAAAAATTCTTAATAGGGCCTATACAGTATTAATGCTATCTCGGATATGCAGTTGTTGCACTGAATGATCAAGCCGCCGTAGTGATTTCGTTCGAGGCAAAGATGTTTATGAATTCTTGTCAAAATGCTACATGTTTTTCTTTTTTCCTTTTTTTTCTTTTTTTTTTTTTTTT